TCAAAAACTACACCTGTGGTTGAGGGGTCAGCAAACTATGGCACTCAAGCCCAATATGCCCCACTACCTGTTTTTGTAAATAAAGCTTAATCAGAATGCAGACATGCCCGTTCATTTATGTATTCTGCATGGCTGTTTTAATGTTATAATGGCAGAGTTGAGTAATTGAGACAGAGAGCATACGGCCCACAAAGAGTAAAATATTTACTATCTGGTCCTTTATAGTAAAAGTTTGCAGACCCCTGTTCTTGCCTGTTTCATGACTAATTTCCAGAGTCATGTTATCACTTGTGATGCGAACTAAGTAAGGCAATGTAGATGATCACCACTGAAAACAACAACCCCTGAACTGAATTCTTCACAGTCTTTATCCTCAAATGAGCAAGATGATTTTTTATATACCAGGGGTGTCCCCAAAAATGCACACATTTTAAGAGATGTTATCTATGTATCTTCGAAGTTGAATTGCGGTAGCAACGTGTAGTATGACGTTTGCTCAAGAGATGCAGTTAATCAAATGAATGCTAGCGTCATTCACTGTATTACAATTTTAATAAAATTTTTTCCTTTCTTAAAATGTGTATACATTTTTTTGGCACCTTCTGTATATAGACAAATTATCTGCCAAATTAATTTTTCCTGGGTTATACTGCCCCCTAACGGTAGAAACATTAAATTACAGATGCTTAATCAGATTAGATGTTCCCCATTGTTAATTTACATAATTCCTGCAATCAGAGTTATACTTAGAGACTTTGTGGCAGGGGACTTTAGGAATCAGAGTTCACTTGGTAGAACTGAGCAGGACTACACAGTTGGCAATTTTAATGAGAATTAGAATCCCTTCCTTCTGTAAAACTCTCTTCGAAGACTATGTATTACTCCATGTAACATTTCCAATGAGCTAGGTCATTTATCCCAAGGCGATCAATTTTCTCAGGAATATTTTGGCCATTTGTGATGCTATGTCTAGCTCTAAAGCTGAGGCACAATGCTATCAAAATAGGAAAAAAATCACATTTGTGCTATGATGAACTGTGATGAAAGAAAGCCTAAACAGCAATCCGGACGCACACAAACATATGCTAAGATGTTTACCAAGAGGGGTTGCACACATATTGGCAATGATGAAACAGCAGAGGGTGAAACCATTGGTTTCCCCCCTTGACTATTGGTGAAAATCCTCTGAGGGGTGATTTAAAAACCATGATCTCTACCCCTGGAAACTCTGATCTAATTGGTCTAAGGCAACAGTGTAAGTTCTCCAAGGAATTACAATGTGCAACCAAGGTTAAGAAACATTGTCCTACTGGAGTGTTTCTCAAATTTTAAGGTATATTCAAATTATCTAGGGATCTTTTTAATCTGCACCTTGTGATTCAGTAGGTCTGTGATGGCACCTGAGAATCTATTCCTAACAAACGAAGGTGCTGCTGCCACCGCTGTCGGGAACCCGAGCTTTGAATGGCAAGAAATTACATCATCCCTAATTTTTTTTTTTTTTTTT